TAATGTCCTCTTTGTTATCAAGCAAGAATATGCCATCTGCATATTGCAAGTTCAAGACAGGTTTGAAGCCTTGGGCACTACTGAGCAAAGACCAGATTAGTTGTGGGAGAATGTTAAGGGTATATCATTCATGAAGAATGTAAAAAGTCAACTGCAAAGGCCAAGGAGAAAGAAAAGACCAAGATGGATGTCAGAAGAGACTCTGAATATTGCACTGCAACACTGAGAAGTTGAAGCAAAGGGAGAAGAAATCAGGAAGTTAAGGAGCTGAACAGAAAGATTTCAAAAGACATACAGGAAGACAAAGCCAGGTATTATAATGAAATGTTCAAGGAGCTGGAGTCAGAAAATCAAAAGGGACGAACTCCCATTAAACATTTTTTAAGCTGAAGGAACGGAAGCACAAATTCAGCCTTGAGTTTCAGTACTTACTGATGCTGAAGGCAAAGTGCTAAATGATCCAGAAAGCACCAAAAGAAGATGGAAAGAGTACACAGCACTGTACCAAAAAGAACTAGCTGACACTGAAAGATTTAATGAAACAACATATGATCAAGAGGCAGTGGTGACGAAGGAGGAATTTCAAGCTGCTCTGAAGGAACTGGCAAAAAACAAGGTGCCAGGAATTGATGGAATTCCAGTTGCCATATTTCAACAAACAGATGTTGCCCTGGATGTGCTTACCAGGTTATCCCAAGAAATCTGGAAGAAAGCTGCCTGTTCAACTGACTAGAAGAGATTTATTTCCATTCCAAAAAAAGATGACCCACCATAGTGTGGAAATTATCAAACGATATCACTAATACCACACACAAGCAAGATCCTCCTGAAAATCCTCCTGAGGACTGGAACAGTACATCAGCAGAGAACTGCCAGATGTGCAGGCTGGGTTTAGAGGAGGCTGTGGCACTAGGGACATCACAGCCAATATTAGATGGATCTTGGTTGAAAGTAGAAAGTACTAGAGGAATGTCTATTTGTGTTTCATTGAACATGCAAAGGCATTTGACAGTGTGGATCACAACAAATTGTGGCTAATCTTGAAAAGAATAGGAATCCTAGAACACTTAATTGTGCTCATGCGAAACCTATACTTGGACCAGGAATCAGACAGAACAGAGCAGGGAAATAACTGTATGGTTCAGTACAAGGAAAGGTGTGCGTCAGGGTATCTCAATACCATTTCAATCTGTATGCAGAACAGATCATTCCGGAAGCTGGACTTTATGAGGAGAAATGTAGCATTAGGATTGGAAGAAGATTAATCAACAACCTGCATTATGCAGATGACACAGCCTTGCTTTGTGAAACTGAAGAGGACATGAAGTGTTAGCTGCAGAAGGTCAAGGACTGTAGTCTTCAATATGGATTGAAGCTCAATATCAAGAATACAAGGATTCTCACCACTGGGCCAATTGGCAGCTTTATGTTGGATGAAGAAGAGATTGAGATTGTCAATAACTTCAGCTTACTTGGTTCCACAAACAATACTCTTGGCACCAGCAGTAAAGAAATAAAAAGGCAAATTGCCTTGGGAAAGTCTGCTGTCAGCGATTTGTCTAAAGTACTGAAGAGCAAGTAGGTCATTCTGGAGACTAAGGTGCGCCTAATTCAGACCATGATCTTTGTAATTACTTGCTTTAGATGATAACTAAGAGTGATAGAAGAATGATTGATTCCTTTGAGTTGTGGTGCTGGAGAAGAATGTTGACCATACCGTGGACAGGCAACAGAACAAACAAGTCTGTCCTGGGGAGGGTGAAATCAGTTTGCTCCCTGGAGGCAAGATGAGGCTCTGTCTCACATATTTTGGGCATGAGGCCAAGAAGAACCAGAGGCATTATGCTTGGAAGGGTGAAGAGACAGCAAAGGAGAGGGACCTGGGTTGAGATGGATTAACTCAGTGACTGGAGCAATGGAATTAGGTCTGTGTGAGACTATGAGATTGGTGCAGGATAGGGCAGCTTTCAGAGCTAATGTACATAGGGTTGTGATGAGTCACAGGCAACTTGGTGGCACATACCACCACCACCACCACCACCAACATACTGCAAGTTTACTACTGAATCTTCCTCCAATCTTGATGTTACAGTCCTTTTGTAATTCAGCTTCTCAGATTATTTACTTAGTATGTAAATGGATTAAATATAATGAAAGGATACAAACTTAACATACCGTTCCTGATTTCGCTTTAATCTAGTCAGATAACTGTCTTAGTCTGTGTACAAGTTCCTCATGAACATGAATAAGTATTCTGGAATTTTCTGAGGTTTGAAATGCTATTTATATTATGATATAATCCACATAGCCAGTAAGTTTGTATAGTCAATTAAAAACTGGTAAACATCTTTCTGGTATTTTCTGCTTTCAGTCAAGGTCTATCTAATTTCACCACTAGTCCCTCTTTCTGTGTCTCCTTGTGAATTCAGCTTTAACTTCTGCTGGTTCTCTGTTGATGTACTATTGCAACAATTTTTAAATTATCTTTAGCAAAATTTTACTTGTTTGTGGCATTGATAATCTCAATCATTTCTACATTCTGTTTTATCACCTGTTTTTAGAATGAGCCCAAGTATGGTTCCTTTCCAGTTAATTGGCCAGGTAGCTCTCTTCTAATTTTTTTGTCATAGGTAAGTGTTTCCACTGTTGCATCTCAGATATTCCACCAATATTTTTTTACCAATATATTCAGTGCAGCTTCAACTTTTTCTTTCAGAATCATTAGTTTTGTTTCTTTTTCTTTTTTTTTTAAGACAGCTTTATTTATTTATTTAGCTAATTTCTGGAGAGGTTTTCAAAGTCTGTGAATCATACAGGAGAGTCCTGTATTTCTCCCTTGGAGCAGCTGGTGGATTTGAACTGCATACCTTTTTGGTTGACAGTGTAGCTACTTACCACTAGGCTACTAGAAGTCCATAGTTTTGTTTCTTTTTATTTTTTGTTTTTATTTGCAGTCTCTTTCCTCCCATCAATTTTATTTTATTTCATTGTTAAGACCTTGAGTAATAGAGAAGTGATTCGTCTTTGAATTTCTCACCACAACTTGATTTGAGTGCTAGAAAGGGCTGCTCTGGACCTCATTTGCAATCTCTTTTTTATCTTTATTTTATTTTATTTTGTTGTTGTGTACTGTCAAGTCAGAACCAACCCACAGCTGACCTCCCAGCGGGTCCTGAGAGGCAGCCGGTTGCTTGGGAGGAGACTGCCCATCCTGGTGCCCTTCTATGCAGCTGGTGGACACAAACTGCGTGCCCTTGGGATTGCAGCACAGCTTCTTGCCACTAGACCACTAGAGCTCCAGTGGCATTAGTTCTCGATTTTATGCCACTTTCTGAAATTGTTGAACATTGACCAATTCTTTTTGGTATTGTATTCCTTCCATCTTTTGATGCTTTCTGTATTGTTTTACATTTTACTCATAGAATCTTCCAGTTTTGTTGTCTTGACTTTTTCTTTCAGCTTGAGAAATGCTCAGCATGTTTCTTAACCCAAATATTTGTATATTTCATTATAATACTTACTTTGTCTTCTCTATGCATCCTGTGAAACTTCTGTTTAGCTCTTTTATTTTGTCATTTCTTTTTTATGAAATTATTCTACAATCAAGACCAAGCTTCAGAGTCTCTTGTGATAGTAATTTTGGTTCTTTTTTTCTTGTGTTTCCCACCTTCCCAGTGGTTTTTGCCTTTAATATCCATCTTTTGTGCACTCTCCTCCGTGTCTCCCCTTCCACTGGTAGTATTGTGCACATTACCTCCTTATTGTTTATTAGCTTTCCTATTACTTTCTTTCTTGTAGTTTTGATGACCTTTTACTTTTTTCATGTATGAGGTCATTGTACAATTCATCTGTTTTTTGTTCATTACTGTTCAATGCATCCTATCTTCTTGAGATGATCTCTCAATTCATTGTCATATTTTTTAATTAAATTTTATTAATTTTAATGAACATTTACAGAGATTTTGGGTTTCCATTCATTCATTGTTGCATCATTGTCATATTTTGACACTCATTAACTTGCCTTCATTTTCAACTTTGTCTTAAACTTGCATGTAAGCTTTAGAAACTCTGTGGGATAGTTTTATTTTGTCTAGTAGTGTCCCCAAAGAAGGCCTGGCAGCATAATGTTTATGTGTTGTACTGCTGACTTAACAGTCAGCAATTCAAATTTACCTGCCACTCTACAGAAGAAAAGGGAGGCAGCTTCTTTCTGTAAAAATCTTTCTGGAAAACCAACCCAGTTGGAGGGGTCACCATGAGATGGAATTAACTTGAGGGCAGAGAGTTTGATTTTGGTTTATAAGGCCCCATTGAGTCAAAATTGATGACAGTGGGATTATTTTGGTTTATTCCTGTTAAAGACTATTAAATCGTTAGTTTTAACTGTGTTTTTGTTGTTGGGTGCTGTCAAATTGGAACTGACTCATAGCTGACCCACCAGTCAGGTTTTCAGAGGCAGTAAATCACGCAGGAGGTTATAGCCTACCTTTATTCCATGGAGCTTCTGGTGGATTTGAACTGATGGCCTCAGATTGGCAACATAGCTTCTTACCATTAAGTTACTAGAGCTCCCGTCTAACTATAGCATTATAACTAAAGGTAGAAAAAGCTTTGCAATGGAAGAAAGAAAAAAAAAAAGGTAGTGGGATTCTATTTTCCAGCAGAGTGGAGTATCACAGTGAGTCAGAAACAACTTGACAGCAGTGGGAGGAGAAAGAACTATGCAGGAGCTTGAGAATGGATATGATTTTCATGGGAATTTTATAGTTGGAGAATGACAGTGCATGCAGACTATTATATGTGACCCAAGTGTATTTCTAACTAGATGTTAAGCACATTAAAAAGAAATATTGTCTGTCCTTTCTCACATTTCCTTATGTTTAGAAAGTTTTCATGAAAAATAAGCAGAATGAACAGTGAGCTTCTAAATTCTATTTTTGTAGGATTTATGCAGGTGACTGACTGTGTCTTACTCAACGTCGTGTCAGCTTTCTGGCTACATGGCTTTTGTGCCGGTGATACCAGACCCTTACAGCCATGTCCTTGCAGAGTTTGAGTCTCTGGATCCGTTACTCTCAGCTCTAAGGCTTGACTCCAGTCGTCTGAAGGTGAATTTCTTGGTCCTCATACCATTTTTGTACTTTTTCAGTGCTGTGTGTTATGTGGGCTTCCTGCCCTCTGGTTTCTTATGCTTTAAATTTCTCATCTCTCCGAGTAATACCTCATACTGAAGTAGCGTACACGTAGCTTTCTTGATTTATTTTTGTAGCTATCATTTGAATTCTTTCCCAGCCATGAAAATGATTTATTTTATCTCCCTCATTAATCTTGCTGTAGGAATCCTGGTGGAAGTATTCAGCTGCTTGCTGAAAGTCTGGCAGTTTGAACTCACTAGTGGCTCTATGGGAGAAAGAGCTAGCAGTCCACTTCCCTAAAGATCACATACATAGAAACCTGTGGGATGGTTCTGTTCTGCATGTAAGATTGCTCTGAGTCAGAGTTAACTTCACAACACCTTTTTTTAAAAAAAATAAAATCTTGCCATCTTACAAAGTAATGTGCTTACTACTTAATTGTGTTTTTAACAGTGTGAGATGCTATAGTTACACTAAAATTATTTCAAAATGTGTCATTTGAGATAGCCCTGACTTAAAGAACAGAATTTAAAAAGTGAGTTAGCATTTTTTAAAAAATTTTATTATTTTTTTATGTGTGTACCATCAAATCAGATCTGACTGGTACAGGAGGAGATTGGTCCTCTTTCTCCAGCAGAGCATCTGAACTTAGAGAAATGATAATCGTTACAAAAGAGGGTTCAGGTCTTTTGTTTATGGAGTCACTATGAGTCGTGCTCAGCTCAACAGCACTTAACAACATTAGAATTGACTTAATAACTAGCTCTTGTCAAAAGAAAATGACTACACAAAATGACCTGTTCAGCCATTTTAAGGTGCAGTTAAAATTTCAAAACAAGTTATTTTGTGTTTTTCATTATTAAGATTAGAAAGTGAGAATTTTGGGTGGGTGAAGGAAGCAGGAGAGGAACCTGGTATACAAGCTTTATAATTTATTCCACTAGATAGCTTATGTGGTAGGCAGCTCTCATGGCCTACTGTGCAGAGAGTTGCACTCCCATCCCAAAGGCAAGTGGTTTGAGTCTGCCAGCTGCTCCAAGGGAGAAACTTTGGCATTCCTTTCCTGTGTGATTTACAAGCTCTGAAAACCTACTGGAAGGTCAGCTATGAGTCAGTTCCAACTTGACAGCAATGAATGAATGAGTAAAAGAATTTATGTGGGTAAGTGGCTGTGATTATCACCTCCTTATCTGTTCATATCTTTAGTGCACAAGCATAGCTGTGTCTCGGAAGTGGTTGGCACTGGGCAGTTCAGGAGGAGTTCTCAATCTCATTCAGAAAGAAGGCTGGAAACAGAGGCTTTTCCTTTCACACAGGGTAAGATTCATAGACTGCTTAGAGTATCTTTCATAAATTCTTGTACTCATTTGGATAACAGAAAGATACAGAACTTAAGATTTAAAAAGTTTCTAAAAATAGCAGTTAAAAAATTGTGATTTGAATAGAAATTTACAAAGAAATTGGCTTCTCATTGACTCGTTAATCCCTCTTCATTCCCTAAGGCATGTCCTGTACATGCTTGTTATTTGCATTACTCATCATGTCTTATTATCCATTCGTTCTTTTCAGAATTACCTTCCCTTCTAGTCCAATGCTGTGTTCCTTATCTGTCCTTTCTTTTCTTGTTCTTTTCACCTCTTCACCAGCCCCTAACACCCCTTAATCATTTTTTATAACAGTAGTCTTAGCCCTTTTTTAAAAAAAATTTTTTTTATTATTTTTGTGTGCGTGTACCGTCAAATCAGATCTGACTGGTACAGGAGATTGTCCCTCCTTCCCTGGCAGAGCATCTGGTGGATTTGAGTCTTAGCCCTTTGTGATGGAGTTTGTTCACCCAGCATAATGACCTGTGGACTCATTCATATTGAAGTGTTTCTTGAGATTTCTAATGCTGCATAGTATGCCATTGTGAGGATGTCCCACATTTAATCCATTTATTTGTTGATTGCCACTTGGGCTGCTTCCATCTCTTTGCTGTTGTGAATAATGCTACAATAAACATGAGTGTACATACATCTTTGTGCCTTTCTTTACTTTAGAGTAGATTCCTAGTAGTGGGATAGCTCAGTTAAATGGTATTTCTGTTTTTAGTCATCTAAGGAAGCCCCAGACTGCCTTCCATAGTGATTGTATCTTTTTGCACTCCCACTAGCAATGTATGAGGGTTCCAATCTGTCTGCATCCTTGCCAGCATTTATTATTAGTTGTTATACTGAACTTTGTCATTGATGCTGGAGGAAAAAGAACCTATTTTAGAAGCTGCCTAAAATGTTTTCTTTTGTGCTCTAGGAAGGTGCAGTTTCTCAAGTTGCCTGTTGTGTACATGATGATGATTATGTTGCTGTGGCTACCAGGTGAGAAGCTTAAAAACCTTTTCCAGATGCATTTCACATGGTCAAGTGTGCTGAAATGTTTGTTAGGGTGGCTGGCCGTTCTAGTTAGCATGGGATAATCCTGATCAGTGTTTAGCTCTGAAAGTTCTGTGTCTTAGAAAACCTCTCACATCTTGGCAAACCAGGATAGTTGGATTACCCTGGTGTTTGTGGACAATGCTAATTTGAAATAAGAACATTTCAAAATCCTTTAAAGAGAAAAGGAACAGAGAGAATTCAGAACCTTTAAGTTCTCCTATTTTACTGATTTATGACTGAAACACGGAAATGAATACCTTGCGTTTGTACTTCCTCTTTTCTGAAGAACATGAGTTTACATATATATATATGGTAAATATGTGTGTGTATATATATGTGTGTGTGTGTGTGTATATATATATATATGTATGTATACATACACACACATACACATACACTTGGAAAAACACCAAAGCCAAACCTATTATTGTTGATACTGACACGTGGTATCCCTATATTTAACAAGTCTCACTTAAACTCATTGCTGTTGAGTCAGAACAGCTGCTCTATGTGATATTCTTGGCTGGAAAAAAAATTGCCAGGCTTCTTTTCTATGGTACCACCATGTGTGTTTGAACCAGCAGCCTCTGTTCTGACAGTTAAGCACAAACTTTTTTCTCCATCTAGCGATATACTTGATAATGTGCTGTGGTTGCATTGTATCTTATTTACCAATACCAAAGATTTTTTCTGTGGCCCACTTTTTCCAGTCAAGGTCTTGTAGTTATTTGGGAATTAAATCAAGAACGTCGTGGAAAACCAGAACAAATTTATGTATCTTCGGAACATAAAGGCCGAAAAGTTACAGCACTCTGTTGGGATACAGCTATTCTTAGAGTTTTTGTAGGTGATCATGTGGGGAAAGTTTCAGCCATCAAACTCAACACTTCTAAACAAGCAAAGGTAAGAACAGAGTCCAGTTCTTTATATATGTAGATGAGATATGAAGTGGGTTATTTTATTAGAACTTTAAGCTAAAGGAGATGGTTTTATCCACTGTATTTTGAAGAGAACTGATCAAAAGCCCAGACTATTAAATGTGATGGAGTATTGTTTGTATACAGCACATATAGTTAAGCTGTTATAGCTTGATACTAATGTAGAATGGCTTTTGTGAGTGAATGTCAACATTTTGTACATTGAGTATTGTTTTCTCTAATATACATGAATAAAACATTTTTTTAAATATTAATAAATTTTTATTTAATGAATGTTGCTTTGTCTTTCAATTCCATTGTCCATCAATATCACCACAGTTCCTCCAAAGCTTGTATATAAGATTCATCTTCAAGAGAACCCTTGAACCACTACTGTTCCTTCAATATAGATTTCTGGAGATCACCACATGCTTCTGTGCAATACTGCCACTGGACAGAGCTGTCACATTTTGTTTCCATTAGGCTGCATGCTGATATGCTTGTTCTCTCTTACTATTTCTCCCTATTAGTCACTCACTTCAGGGTCATTTTTGGATGCCAGTACTTTCTACTTCTTCATTTCAGTGACCCTAGAAAAAGAAAAGTTCCTAAATAAAGGTTTTGTCAGCACACTGAATAGTTTTTAAAAACTGTATGAACTGTATCAGTAGAAATACCAGGTTTATCTTGCACAATGCCAAGAAAACCAACAATGCCAGATACTGAATTTCTCTTTCACTGTCCTTTGAACATCTCAGCAGAAATAACTGCTGAATGGAATAAAACATTTTTTAACATGGAAGTTTTTAAGAAACAGAAGATGCCTGTTTGTTAATTTTGTGAATTAAATGGCAGAGCTATTTAATTCCCAGGCTTCTGTTTTTCTCTTGGTTCCTATGTAGAAGAAATTCATGAGTCTTGGTATATTTTGGGCCTAGGAGTCAAAGTTGCCTAGTGGATAGGAAGTCGCACTGCCAACCCAAATACAAGAGGTTCAAGGTTCATCTCCTAAACACAGTGGAGAAAGGTGGACACGTCTGCTCTTGTGCAGTTAAAAACCCATTGGAAGGTCCACTGTGATTTAGTTCGAGATTGACCTTAGTGGGTTTGTTGTTGAGGTATCTTTTCTTTCAGTATATATGTAATACTGTGAATGGAACCTTAAAGGCTCATCTTTGTGCTTAGCTGTGTAATTCCCAGGCTACATACCATAGTAATTGCTAGAGTAGAGGGTTAGTTCTCAGGTTACCCTCACAGAATGATTCTTTAGCCTGTTATTAAGTAAGTGGAACAAAATCAGCTTCTTATTGTCCCTCTCCTCCAAGGCTGTTAAATCAAAAAGGGAAACTTGCCCCTGATTTCTTTATTTCCCTATAGGATACTAGCAGAAGAGAAAGAATTGAACTACTGTTGACTAAATTATTTTAATAAACAGGTACGGGTTTTGGTTTGCTAATGATAACCAAACTTAACATTTGATTCTTACCGTATTTTTGAACCAAACGTTCACAACTAGAGCCCTAAACCTAGTACAGTCTTAATTAACTTTATTTTCTAAAGACAGAAGTGCTACCTATAGGAGGAAAATACTCCCAAACTTACTTTATCTAGATAGGTTAGCACATTGTCACACACTTTTAAATTGACGGCTGTGCTTAGAAACCTGTAGGACGGCTCTAGCCATCATTTGCAGCAACATACTTTAAGTAGTCACTTTAGAACTTGTGCATTTTTATGCACCATATGAATTCACACCACTTTTAAATGAATGGAACTGTAATATTCTAATGGGCAAATTAAATTTTTACCTTTTTTTAAAAAAAAATTATTTTGCTATCCAAGATAGCTGTGATGAAATACATTTGTTTTTCTTCTTGCATTCCTTTTAGGCAGCTACTGCCTTTGTGATGTTTCCTGTTCAGACAATAACAACAGTTGATTCCAGTATTGTCCAGTTAGATTATTTGGATGGAAGACTACTTATATCCTCACTTACTCGATCTTACTTGTGTGACACTGAGAGGTAATTAAACAACCATGGGTCATCAGAAAAATATAGTTTTAGAAGGGAGAGGGACATAGATGTCTGTTAGCCTCAACTCCTCAGTTCAGTAGTAACAGATAATAACATGTGACTGTAACTATGGGCTCATGCACATCAGAAATTATGAGGATGGTATAGGATATGGCAAGGTTCAGATCTGTTGTTCATTGAGTAACTATGAGTCATAATTGACTTGATGGCACCTAACACTAACAATAAGGAGCCAACTATTTGCAAGATGATGCAAGACAGTAGAAATAATATAGTCAAGCAAGTAACTTAAGACAAGTAAGCTTCCTTTGAGGTATGATCTGACTAAGTACTGTGAGAGAAGGTTAAGTGACAGGCAGTCCTGATTCAACATGGGGAAACAAGAAGCTTTGCTTGATGTTGTTGTTATGTGTTGTCGAGTCACATAGTGACCCTGTGTATAGTAGCCCTGAAACCGGCTCTATTCTTTGTCAGTCTTACTGTCTCTGATACACCTACCTCATTACCCCAGTCACTGAATTAATCCATCTCATCAAGGGTCTTCCTCTCTTGTGCTGTCTCTCCACCCTTCCAAGCATGATGTCCCTCTTCAAGGACATGGCCATAGTATGCCAGACAAAGCCTCAGACAAAGTATTTCAGTACCAGCCTGGTTTCACCCACTTCAAGATGAACATATTTGTTCTCCCAGCCATCCATGGTATATTCAATACTCTTCTCCAGCAGCACAATCAAAGGCATAAATTCTCTATCATCTCTAGTCATTGTCCAGCTTTCTGACACAGAACAAGTAATTGCAAAGACCATGGCCGGGTTCAGGCACACCTTAGTCTCTAGACTGCTCTTCAGTATTCTGGAGAGATCCCTGACAGCAGACTTCTCCAATGCAATTTGCCTTTTGATAGAGGTTTTTAAAAATTTGTTATATATTTAACTGAATATACAGATATTACTGAATGGTAAACTTATATAAAGAATAAGAACTTTGTGGAAATGATGTTTTAACAAACTCTCAGGAGTTAGAAACTAAATGTACAGTGTTGAAGAGTATATTAAAGGGAACTGTGAGATTATCAGAGCAAGCATAATTATGGAAACATAATTGTGTATCAGTACATTAAAGTTCTTCAACCGTGCTCACTGCAGTTCTTACTGGCTCTATTTCTTTGCTGGTCCTGGCCACTTACCATATTCCTCAGGACCTCCTCTTTTATAAAACTTCATTCTGTCTTGCCCTTGAGATGACCTTTAAACTTAGAGCTGAAGTCATTCCCAAAGATAACCTTTCAGCTAAAGAATAACTGGCTCATAAAATAAGTAATATTACTTGTGAGGATTGTTGTTTTGTTGTTATGTGCCGTCGAGTCGTTTGCGACTCATAGTGACCCTATGTACAACAGCCCTAAACCCTGATCTATCCTGTGCCAGTTGCATTGCCTCTGACACACCCATCCCAATTACCCCAGTCACTGAATCAATCCACCTCATAGAGGGTCTTCCCCTCCTGTGCTGTCCCTCTACCCTACCAAGCATGATGTCCCTCTCCAAGGACCTGTCCTTGCAACATGCCCAAAGTATGTCAGACGAAGCCCCAGAATCCTAGCCTCCAAGGAGTAGCCTGGTTTAACCCTCTCTAGGATGAATCTGTTTGTTTTCTTGGCAGTCCATGGTACATTCAATACTCTTCTCCAGCACCACAGCTCAAAGGCGTCAATTCTCCTATCCTCCCTAGTCATTGTCCAACTCTCTGATGCATAACAAGTGATTGCAAAAACCATGGCCTGTATCAGGCACACCTTAGTCTCCAGAGAGACACCATTGCTCTTGAGTACTTTAGAGAGGTCCCTAACAGCAGACTTTCCCATCGCAATACGTTTTTTTATTTCCTGACTGCTGGTGCCAAGAGTGTTGACTGTGGAGCCGAGCAAACTGAAGCTTAGGATCTTTTTAAAAAGTAATTTATATGAAATAAAAGGGTAAGCAAAGATGAGAAGTTAAGGGGAGACAGAGAAACTCAATTAATGGGAACAGAACATTCAAAATAGGAATAATGAAAATGTTGACACATTGTGAAAAATGTAATCAGTGTATTATAATGGTGAGATGGGAAACTCTGACCATTTCTGACTTCATCAAGGGAAAGGAAAAGCCTAAGGTCAGCAGCCCAAGACCGATTTCTGTGAGGCAGAGAGTCAGATTTACCTCATAACTCTAGCCTTTTTCACCATTCTAATGTCAATGGTTTCTCCCGCAGCACTCTCTCCTTCTCTGCTGAGTCTAGTAATTCAGTTGCAATGGCCACACAGAGCTCACCGACAATACTTAAAATCACAAGTTTTATTAGGAAAGTAATAGGATACAATTCAGGGTCCCTGTTTCAATCAGGACAGCTTCTTGGCTATGCCAGGAGGGCAGACTTTTGTTGCATACCGAGGGTAAAGTATTTTTATAATTATTAATAATAGGCAGACAACCAGGAATGAGATAAAACAGAGAGCTTAAAGACTGGGCCTGCAGTTTCATCGACTGAGAGGCCTCATTCCAACTACCCTGTATCTTTATTGAAAATTATCAGGAAGTAAATCACAAAGAGAATTCAGTGCAAATGAAGCCAAGCTCTTTCTATTGAAAACCTTTCCCTTGACTCTAGAGGGAGAGATCAGCAAATACAATGCAAGAATCCAGTAAACCCTTAAGGGTTGCCTAAGTACCTTAGGGTGAACTCCAGCTTGTACCTGAAATAGCATTTGGTTTATTACAAATATTTCATATTGGCTTTCCATAGACTTTGATGAATTTTGGTCTGACTTCTGCCCTGCTCCAGTGTCAAAAGCTCTTTATCTCTACCAATCAGGTCCCTGGAGGCACCCATGAAGCCTGCTGCCCAAAGGTGTTAAGCTGTCTTCTTCTGAGAGTCAGCAAACTTACTGTAATTGCCTTGTTCTGTGAACCCAGAACCACGTATCCTGTTCCATACTCTTCTGATTCTGCTGCTGCTGTTTCTCTGCCACTGTCTCACCATCCCACTTACAACTTCCTTATTATCTCTTGAGGCGTTTTCAACAGAGACCCTGGGTCTGAAGAATGCATTCTTGTCTCTGTTGTAGTGAAGTCCTCACCCCCTTCCTGCCTCTAGAATGGTTCATTTAGGCCTAGCAACTTGGCAGAATTGACTAGTCTCCTCATTAGGAGTTCATACACCTTTTTTGCATGATCCCAACCTTCCACAAAGGTGCTATGTACCTTATTTACATTGTGTCAAGTTATTTAATCCCTTTGTGATCCTTAAGTATATTATTAACATAATCTCATCTAATCTTGGGAGTTCTAAGACCATGGCATGAAGACTAACTAAAAAGTGATTCATCACATTGTCAATGTGAAAAATACATATAGTTGTTAAATGGGAATGTAATTTGCTGTGTAAGTTTTAACCAAAACCACAGTAAAATATTATTTAAAAAACAAAGCTTTATCATGAAAAATTTTGCCTATAACACTAAAGAATAGAGAACTGTGTCATAATTGCCCATGATTACAACGCCAGCTTTAATAACTTGATGAAAATTTTTGAAAGGTAGAAAGACACTCTTGCAGGCAGAAACAGTCTCTGACAGGAACATCTCTGAATATTCCAGCACATTATACATCTTGCCAGTTAGACTTGAGTCAGGACATTGTGGGCAATAAAAGTAAGGGAAAGGAAAGTTAATTTGACACCATGTTGACAGTGATAGCTTTAAATGTCAAAGTATGGTGTTTTCAGAACACTGAAAAGACCACATACATGTAGAAAATGAATTCCTGAGAACGCTTCAAGATCTCTCCAACTTAGGAGATCTGTATCTTCAAAACTGCAAGAGTTCTTGATCTCAATATGAGGATTACTAGTTTAGAAAGCAATAGTCTGAAGGAAAAGAGAAAAGAATATGTGTTGGGGTTGGAGGATAGAGGGAGAGTAACACGGAGACATCACTGTGTTTTTATTTTCTTGGGCTGAGAAGAACATTTGGAAAGGAGCCTAGTTGTAGCACTTTGCAAGGGTCTGGTTCCAGATAACTGTTTAGCAAAGAGGCAAAATTTTTAGATGTGCATAGTCAGTTTTACATGGAGTTAATATAATTGATGATGTATTTCCTTCTAAATTATTTTAGACTACATGTTAGTGAGGAAGTTAGATTTTTTTTTTCCAGAACTGGAAGCCTTACGAGATCATCTAGTTGTTACAGATCACTGTTGTTACAGATCAAAAGCTGAGTCCCCTTAGGTGTGACTTGGCTGGCGTGCAGCTGGGCAGAGACAGTTGAGACTAGAACCTTTGTCCTGCCTGTGTCCTTCCTGTTACCTCACAGCTATGTCTGGTATACTTCCTTGACCATTACTCATTTGACTGTTTACTTCCACCCTTGTGATGTCTATAAAATATTTGTCTGCTTCACCAACTTAAGTTATTCTTTTTATTTTTAAGGTAAATAGTAATGATAGAATGATTAGAAAGTAACATCCCTAAAAGGACATACCTTCCTCCTTAAAAGGAGATAAGGAGAAAAGACCCAACTTTAGTTAATCTGTATCTATTAGAGTGCCTTTTCAAGTTTACCAAGTGGTCTGATTCAGAAATTAGACTGAAATTCTTGTAACATGTTATTAGAGTTATTTTGAGGACTTAATAAAATGAGCAGAATTAAATTCTCAACTCAAACTCATTGTTGTAGCGTCCAAACCAACTCATAGTTGGCCCTCATAGAAGCCCTGAGGTTTCTCAGTCTTTAAAGGCATGAGATGAGATGACCCAATTTTCTTACTCAAAGTTGCTTGTGGATTCAAACCACTGGAGGAGCAGATTGGGTTAGCAACACACTCCCTTCAGACGACACCATCAGAGCTCTCTAAAACGAAATAAATGGAGGCTAATTTTCTCTTCTGTGCAATAGAGCTGCTAATCTTTACTGATTTCTCATTTCATAAATCTATAACTAGTGTATGTTA